TTTTCTGAACCCCAGCTATTAATCAGAATATAATAGGAAACAGAACAGCAGCTTATTTTTGGTAAGAGGAATAATATTATCTTTGTTTCTCAGATGCAGTCACAGTATTTGCAGAAGACAGAGCACCCCCTTTCCCCTCCTTCACTATTCAATTTCCCCCCATCAGAGTCAGTTTATGTGGGTTTCTTTGGCAATCTGGCTTGGCCATTATAATACATAATGCAACAATATCTTCAGGAAGAGATGGGGAAGAAATGTGAGATGTTCCTTCCTTTAATCCAAGAAAAGGTCTTTTTCTTCTGTTTTACAACAGGTCCCCTCCAACTTGTGACTCTTCCTAATCCACCTGCAATTTAGGACCGGTTCAGAGGATTCTCACATTTAGTGGCCTCTTCATGTGTAGTTTTTCTGTCAACAAGCATTATCTTCTGCCTCTGCTTATGTGAGGATAGGAAGCAAAGGATACAGTGTTTACCATCTCCACAGTTTCTTTGAAAGTGTGGTGCTTTAGAATAATTGAGAGTGAAGAATAATAGTTAGATCTTTGAGTAGTAAAAATAAAATACAGCTGATTTGTCAAACATAACCTCATCTTCAAAAAGCAGAAGCAGATTGGAAGACAATACTTGTACAATATTGTATTGACATTCCTAGCATACATATCCAGAAATCTTCCTAATACTTCTAGGGGATTTATTTATTCAATTATGCACATATACTGTAGGACTCCTGTCTCAAATATTCCTCTGTATCACAGAAGAATAATTGGCAGTGGGGAAACTGGCAGATGTGGTGTTGGCAGAACAGCTTTCTGAACTGCGCTGAGAATTTTTAAAAGTTATACACATGTAATCTTCAGTGATTTGTAACAGTAATTCAAAATATATTACAAATATCAAGCAATGCCTAAATCACAATGAAAATTATCCAGATGACAGTTAAAATAATTCACATCTCTAAAGTCAATTTCCATACATAAAAACCAGGAATGGGGTAGGATAGTTTAGCATAAGAAAAGGTAGCAAGGCATTTTGTGTTGAGTGGGATCACAGTAGAAGCAAAAAAAAAAAAAAAAAAAAATCCTTAGAAATGTTAAACCTGATGTATTATTTATGAATAGTGCCGTACTGACTTTAGTCCAAGCTCATATTCCTCACAGTTTAATGGATTAGGTATCCTTTGGCACAATTAGGCACAATTGCATCCATTAGGCAAAAGATAATGTGATTGAAAGAACAGAAATGGCATATAAATCAACTAACCAAATAGGGGAGTGCAAGAACATCATGTTTCACCCATTCTCTTCTTTGAAAGACTTCTAAAGTGCATTATTTTTCATCAAATTGAATGAGAATTGGTCAAAATTACTGCAGAATTTCTCTGCTTTATATTAGCTTATAGCATCCCTGGCAGGAAGCTATCTGGCTTCTTCTTGAACACATCTATGAACAGACAGCTTACCACCTTCCCAAGTTCTACTACTGAATTACTTTTACTTGTAGTTTTTTTTTCTGATTTGCAACTGCCTTTATTTTTACTTATTTATGTATTAATTAATCCAATTTATAGGGCCACCCATCTACCCAAGAAACTCTAGACAGCAAACAAAATAAAAACAGAGAATTTAGTTAAAACAAAAACTGACTAAAACTGCACTGAGGCGCAATAAAAACACAGAACCACTAGACGCATACATTCACGTCAGAGTTCCCATGCTAACGTCCTGACTCCAATATCTGGGGGAAGAGCCAGGTTTCATGGCCTTGCAAAAGGCCAATAGAGTAGGGGCTATCCCTATTTTAGCGGGGGGAGCCTGTTCCATAGGGTAGGCACCATAACAGAGAAGGCATACTTCCAGGGACCCACCAGATGACATTGTTTTATCAATGGCATCTGGAGTACAGTGGAACCTCGGGTTACGAATTTAATTCGTTCCGTGACTGGTCGCACCCCGAATTGGTCACAACCCA